AAAAATGAGAGCATGTTCTTACTCATGTGGTTATTTAATTGACTGCAGTGCCAGGTCTCCCTCTGCCTCTGTGTTCTCCTCTATACCCCCAGCAAGAGCCCTGCACAGAGCCTCAGACTTCCCTTTCTTTTCCAAAGATTATATTTGCCCTATATTTTGATCAACTCTGTGTATTTCTTCCCTAAATGACATGAATATCCCTCCAAGTACTTCTTGATAGCATAAAACTTATTTTTCTTCAAAATTGGGTTTTTTTAATGCCCAGTATTTTGAAACAATCAATTTTTGGAATAGTGTTTTAGACAACAAATTTCAGTTATCTGGTGAGATTTATTAAATTGAAGATATGCAGTGTTTAAGGAAACTCTCATAATCCCACCCCTATCTTTTGTCTGAGAAGTTCGTGTATGAAGCTCAAACAACAAGAGTTGCCAAGATGCTGTAGAGAAATCAAATAGGAAATTACCTAACCTAAGAACTTCAAATGAGGATACTGGAGAAAATGGAATTTTTATTTTAACAATTTGACTTTAGCTTTTTCTAAAGTATTTCATTCTAGAATTTTAATAATAGCCTTCTTTTCAATAGAGCTTTGCAGATATGCTATTACTTTCCACTAATGCTAGATATAGAGGAAGAACATTACATTTTCCAGGCCACTTAGGAACTCTTTAGAGTCTGGAACATCCTGAAGAATAATCATTTCCTGTAAATTTTTCTAGTTCATGATCTGCTTAATAGTAATGTACAAAACATCAAAATGTTGTCGGGAAAAGCTTCTCCACTCTCTTCCAAGATTTTAATGATCTCTAGTCAGAGCAGTTTTCAGCTGAGATCATGTAATCCTATGCAATAAATCTTTGTTTTTATTCCATTAAAGAGAAGAATGAGCATATCATTCATTGTTCAGCTGTCAACTGTATTCTTGTACATGATAATTATTTAAAACATTATGTATTGAATAGTGCCAAGACAACAACGACCATTTCCTAAATAAATGAATTTACTTATTCACATTCATAGCTCATTACCTTTGTATAATAATAATTTAGCTACTTCTATCTCACTGTTAAAGTATATAACTTTTGTTTTTCATACTTTAGATAAAGCAAAACTACATTTAACTATTTTTAATGTAAACTCTAGTACTAGGACATTTCATACTTAAATTTCTGGGGGCTTTTTTTGAATTGTATATGTGAAGATGTTATATTCTAAATATGTTCAAAATATGTTCTTCTAAAATTTTATTTATAAAAATATTTTTCATATTCTTTCTCACTGTACACATTTCTCATTCTTTTAATTATATGTCTATTTGTAATGGAAGCCTGAGCTATATCCCAATGGTAAACATGCTCAGTTGCTTAGAAGTCAACAGAGAAATACATTTGGTGCAAGCCTTAAGTAGATAACAGAATCATCATCAAACTAGAGCTTTTAGTTAATTTCTATTCTTTCTTTGTATAAACTATTTCATTTGGTGTTTTTATTTAATGACCTTCTGCTGTAGACACTGGAAATAAGCCTCTACTATTTGCTAAACGTGCTGCGTGGGTATTTCGAATATGTATTTCTCAAGAATTCTTAAAATAGGGTTTACCCTTATCTTATTGGTAAGAAAGCTAAACCTCAGAGTTTAATTTAACTAAAAATAAAGTTAAATCTTTGACTCTTAAGTGCTAAAAGAGATGCAAAGATGAGGAAGATATTGTCCTGGGCTTCTGGAGTTTATATTCTAATAAAGAATTTGAAAATTAAACGTGAACATATTTACACACACATATACACACACATAAAACTCTATAACAAGGTGGTGTATGATGAAGTACATAAAAGGCATAAAACTATAGTATGGAGAATCTTATCTTTCCTTAAATTTTGCATATCTAAAATTTTAGCTTAGCAAACTGGATTATCTGACAGATCTCAAAGTTAGGTACAATGCACACCATGCTTACATGTGTTTTAAAAACTAAACAAATTCTTAAGCCTTAGGCTAGCCTGTATGAACCTATGAATCATAGCAACAGGACTAAAAGTCATGACAGACTTAAAAAGACAATGGCTAGAGCAGGCAAAGTCAGAATCCTAACTACTGAAATTCAAAAGTCAAGTAAGCTGTTAAGGTTCAGAAATAAAGACAAAGCAGATTGGACAAGAACCAATCAGGGAAGCAATGGGATACACAAGTACCAGGTGTCTTTGGACAGGAAAAGGTACCAAGATAAATATTTAAAATGAGGTACGTTCTGTGTCAGCCAAGAAGTGTCACATGTATTTCCTGCTGAGTTAAAGCTATTCCTCATCCTGCAATTGGGACTCAATATTTCCCTACTAGGTGATGGGATGTAGATGAACCTGGCTGAATGGGGAAGGTGCAGCCTGAGGATATGCTAGGAGTCAGTGATAAAGTTGGGTCTATATATTTATGGCGAACTATTTCTATCTAATATTTCTTTAGCTAAAGATATTCCTGAAATTGATATAAGCCAGTATTCAGCTACGATTTATCTAATCATCATCATTGTTGTCATCATTTGTCATTTATTAAATTCTTGCTGTGTGTCAGATATTGTGCTAAGTGCTTTACATGCATTATCTGGTTTAATCCTTACAGCAAGTCTGGAAGATGGGTACAGTTGTCCTTATTTTAACAGATGAAAAACTGAGACTCATAGCAGTTGATCCAAGATCACAAACCTAATAATTTATGTAGCTCGAATTCAGACCGATGATTCAGTCTCACTCCAGAGCATTGTCTCTTAATGATTACATTATTACCCTTACTGCCTCCATGGTCAAAACTTACAGTTTTTCGTATTAATTTAGAGGATTTAACAGTCCCATGAGCAAAAGTAAATAAGAAATATAATACCCAAACTGTTTTTCTACCCAATTATAAATTATTTTAAAAGAAATAGTAGCAGACTGCTTCTCTATTTTATTATAAGTTTTGAGAATAAGAAAGAAAAAAGTCCCCCAAATACAGTATAATACCTATTGAACAATTTTATAGCTTTGAAAAATTTCAAAACTTTGATTTTTGTATAAATAAAATGCCCAGAAAATAAATAAAATGAAAGACTTTCATATCTGTCTCACCTTGAGATCAAACTTAATTTCATTAAATTTAGTGAAAACATATATAAACATACAATTTATTATGTGTGTATATGTATGTACAATATATTAGACAGGTAGATAGATAGCATAGATAATGTTGGCTCCATACATACCATGAAGTTGAATTTTCTTCAAATAAATCTAGTGTAAAAAAAATAATGTTCCCTTTAAAATCAAACACTACAGTTCTAGTTAAATAGATATTTCCTAGGAATAGGCAACAATTTTTAGAAGAATTTCATTGTATGCTTTTTGATAATTGAGAGTTTATCTAACAAAGTAGAATGTTAAAGTGGACTGAGAAAGGCTAATTCTCACCTAATTTGAATATATATTGCAAGATTAATAGATTTGATAAAAATTTTATGGAGCCTTAGAAATAATCCCTTTATCTTACATTTGAAGAAAGGGTCAGTTATTAACCAAAACGTATATATAGCTAGATACTGGGAAGTCCTAGAAAAAAATAAAAAAGTACAGATCATTTGAATTGGATCTAATGTTTAAATTATGCTCTGCTGCCATCCAATTTTTCTTGGCCAAAAGGTTTATACCTCTTTAAATTTGCAATGAATTGTTATTCATGGAGGATTGTTTATTAGATAATGATTCTTCAGATCACAGCAAGTGATTTATATAATCACCTTTCTAAGTCTTTGTGAAATTTGCCAGTATCTAGAAAATTCTCTATTCCGAAATTAACTAGATAAGGATGTTTCAGCATTATGTTTAAAGTGCATGTGAATAAAGAAAAATCTATTAGCAGATATTCTCTTACCTCAATAATGACCATATTTGATGTTTATAGTAAGAATACTGTTGTACTGCCAGGTAGTAATAATACAGTAATGATACTGGCTACGTTTATTTACAGCATGCTAGATACCACACATGTCTTAGTTCTAATTTTCAAAACAACCTTGCAAGGAAGGTATTATTATCCTTATTATTTTATAAGCAGGCTTTTAAGTATTAAAGAATTTGACCAAATTTACCTAGTTAGCAAGAGTTTTCCTTACTCGAGATTTTCCAGACTCCGGAGTCTATACTTTTTACATCCTAATATGAAAATTCTTAGCAAACGATCTCTTGTTGTCAACAATTAAATTAAATTTGGTGCATTAGTTTTTGCATTAAATGTATTTTGTGAGAGTAGATCATTAACATAAAACATTTATGATGATTTTCAATTTACCAGAATATTTGAACACTCAAGAATACCCTGCACCCTGGCTGTGCCCGTTAACTATCTGATTATTTCAATTCCAGGAAGTTTGAACTATTGTAAATAATAATGACTTTTTCTAGTATTTCTAGGATTCATCAAAATTCCAGCAACCATTCAGAAATTAAACTTTCTTTTTTCTCTTAGATTTTCTAAAAAGAGTTAGTGTTTTAATAATTAGATTTTATATTATCTCTAGGTTTTCAGAGAAGCCTAATGGATTAAAGAGAAAACTGATGGCTACTAGAAATGGTTTTTATAAGTTACAATGGCAACTTTATCATACTGTTTTTTTCCAAATTTTATTCAAAAATAAAAAATTCTACTTCCTAATATTAAGCCAAATGTTTATTTCCCAGATTTTAGCTAAATGTTCTTTCCTAAGGCCAGTGCTGTTTTGAAACTATTTTAATGGCCTTTACTGGGGCGTGGTGAAAATGTTCTAATTACTTTGCTAAAAACAAGAGTTTCATATAAATTAAATTTTTCTTTTAGGATAATTGCCATTCACTTTTGTTTTATATGCAACTGAGTGGGCTTTTGCAGTATTCTCTGTGGACAATTAAAGTGCTGAAATAGGAGAAAGCTAATAATTGCTTTGTGTGGTAATACTGACAACTTCTGCGTATTTGTCAATCTGTGTTAACAGTATCGATCAGGATGGGATCCTCATAGAGGGGCAGATAATATTTCCAATAAATCTTCGGACAGTGATGTAAGTGATATATCTGCGGTTTCAAGGACTAGTAGTGCTTCTCGTTTCAGCAGCACAAGCTACATGTCTGTCCAATCAGAACGGCCAAGAGGAAACAAGAAAATCAGGTAAGGGGCCTTTAGCAGTAAACTCCACTAATCCACATTTTAGACTTCTTGCACAGAAAAAATTTTATGGAACTGTTGACAATTTTGCTTACTAGTTTACTTGAAATAATTTTTTTCATGTTTATAATTTAAAAATTAATATTGTTATTATATCTTTATGAAATTAAAGTGATGGTTAAGTGAGACTCGAATGTTTTAACGTTCCAAGGAATATGAACAATAATATTTTGGAGGGGCTTTTTTTCTTCCTAGCTGAATACATTTCAGTGATTCAGAAAACATAATATTACTTTTTTAGTAGGATGCTTTCCCATCCTCCTAAAATTTTTATAAATGCATGGAAAAGTCCTCATCCTCTCGAGAAAATTTATAAATGTATAATTTGCGTTTCTCACTTGTCCTATATATTTTATGAACACCTAAGCTAAATTATATTTTTACTCCTATTAAATTAAAAAAATCTATAATAGATCACAACTTTTGCCTTTTTACCTCTAATTTTGTAGGAAAATGTGATTTTGCTTAAACAGTTCTTTTCTGGTATATACTGAAAAAAGATTTCAATGTTTAAAAGATATAATTTTTACTTATGTTTTGAAAGTTTTCATTACTTTTCTGTTTAATTTTGTATGTGTTTTTTCTTGACTTTCTTTCTTTTCTTTTTTTTCTTTGTTTTTATTTGCATGCCTTCGATTTGTGTTGCTTTCAAAAGACCAAAAGGCATAGAAGAGGGAGGGAAAGAAAGGGATAAGCTTGAAGAGATAGTTCATGAGAAGGAAGAGGTAAAAGAAGAAGGACTTAATGAGAATGGGCAAGGGAAAGAGATTACAAAAATGTGTAATAAGGAGAAAAACAGAGAATCAGGAGACGAGGAAAAAATACAAGATTTACCTGAGCAAGGGAAAGAAAAAGAACAGTGGAATAAAGAGGATTTACAAAGGAGATTCTCACAAGATGATGACAGGTAAAATATGTTTATTTTTATACATTTTCCATTAGTAGTGTAGTATCTTTTACTATTCCCAAAAATTACTTTACCATTTATATTTGATTTATTTTCTTGTATTTTATCTATTTAGCTTCTAATACAACTAATTAATATGTTGGTAAACTATTATCAAATAAATTGACATTAAACAGTCTTTAATTTGTATCCACTAGCTGTGAGAGTCTCATTGATTTGGTTTCCAAATTCTGTAAGACCAGTTGAATCAAATTTAAATTTTCCTTTAGCTCTTTTAGTATGAATTACTGTATATCTTCCCCATGTGTAAAGTCTAAAGATGAATGAAAAGAGAAACTTGAAAATCCTGAACCAATAATGAAGACTGCTTCAGGAGAATAGAAGGCAAAACCTTTAAAATGAACTTCTAAAAGGGCTGAAAAAATTTGGCCTACTTTATAAGAAATATTATATACTAGAATCAAACTTCAAAAATGAGTGACAAAATAGCTAGCTAAAAGCAGACTTCATTTAGACTCTGGTTCCCTGGCCTCTTAGTTTTCTGGCAGGTTCTAGTCCAATTTGAGTCCTGAGGAAGCAGGGGCAATGTTTCTGATACTCTGAAAAGAAAGCGTAGATGCCTCGGGGCTTATTAGAAGGCAAACATGTTGGGTTATACACTTCTTGAAATTCATTAAATTAGAAAAACTGCTAGAGAAGGAACTTCAAACAGGGAGAAAGGCAGGGAAAAAACACAAGCAGTAAGGCATAAAACATAAATTACATTTTTATTTTTATAACACAAGCCAGTAATTAAGTATGACGCTATCTTTACAGTACTGCATATACTGCGTACAGTCAAATCAGCACAAGCATGCAGGAAGACTTTATTCTTCTTCTTGAGGAGATAAAGTTGTTCTGACTACATTTATGTGAGACTGAAAATTGCAAATTATGTACATTTTGAAGAAATCGAGTTTTCTATTAGTCCAGAATTTGATTTTGTGTTACTACAAAGTTTGCTTAATAAAGCATACCCCATTCATAAGCTAAATTTTGTATTATTATATCTAAACCCAATCTCAATTTGTGCTTTTCTCATAATTAATGAGAAAGATAATTGGGGCAGATGTTTACAATTCAGTGGGTTAGCTATGACACTTCACTTTTTGTCTCAGATTTCTTTATATCTGTGTTCTGTGAAAGTTTCGTATAACAGGCATTAAACATAAAAATGAATCTTAAGTAAGGCACATTTTGTGATTAGAGTCTAAACTAGTAAATTCCCTTCTGTCTTTATTATCTAACTTTGTATAATTACATGGGTTTAACTAATAAAGATGACCATTTTTCTGATTTGTTGGGCATAGGATCATTTCATCACTAATTCAGAGAAAAGCTTTCCAAGGTGTCCTTGAAAAGAGACACAGAGTTTCCTTTCTTCTTTGAGCAGAGCAAAATATGAGTCTCTAATGTGTTTTCTTTTCTATATACTGTATAGATGAGACACATGAATCCATTTGTGTTTGCCTACATTGACATACATGGCTTGGCAGGCAGAGGTTTGGAGAAGACTGTAACCTTAAGTTCCCTATTTTTTAAAATATTACTTTCTTCATCATTTTCTTCAGGAAAAGAGCACATTATTTTATAGGGAAAAGGGAAAGATGGTATATTCCTAGCTATATGAATCATCAAGGCACTGTATTCAGCTTAACTGTATAATACTTCTGGAACTATAAACTAGAGGAGGTCAAGCTGATCTCTCTAGGGAATGTATATTCCATATGATGGCAAAAAATATCAACTGCAATTGTTTATAAGAAAATGTTAGTGTTGCTCATTAATTACTGCAACATAGGCTCTTGAATTTGTTTTTATTTCTTACAATAAATCTAATAATCTTTATTCTAAGGAAATATATGTCTAAGTATTCCCAGTAATGTTATGGTAACTGATAAACACAATCATAGGTTGTTTAAACATTAAAAACAACTTATGTGCTTATACAACATTATTGAAAATAATCTTATTCTATAATACAGGGTGAATATTCCTTATCTGAAATGCTTAAGACTAGAAGTATTTCAGATTTCAGATTTTTTTTCAGATTTTGGAATATTTTCATATATATGATGCGATATCTTGGGGATGGAACCCAAGAAACATGAAATTTATTTATATTTCATGGATAGCTTATAAACATAGCCTAAATATAATTTTGTACAATATTTTAAATAATTTTGTGCATGAAACAAAGTTTGTGTTCACTGAACCACCAGACAGCAAAGGTGTCACTATCTCAGCCACCCATGTGGACAATCTGTGGTTGTTTGGCATTGCCATCATTCTTGACTGTGAATTTGTATGGTACTCATCAGCAAGCACTTTCTGACACTTCTTCACACATAAGTACTTAACAGTAAAAAGAGATGACATACCATTAATACAGTGAAAAAGTAATGTGTTCGGGGAACTAAGCAGCACAGTAACATCACCAGAATACCTGTATCAGCTGTTAAACAATCGCAACAACAAATGGCATTACTTTAGTCTTCACCTGCAATGCTGTGTTTTGATTAAAAGGTACACTTGTGGTATCATGTCAGCTCTCAAAAATTTTTGCATTTTGGACCATTTTATATTTTGGCTTTAGGGAAATGCTCAATCTGTACACCATTAACATTTTATGCTTTTCTCTTGTAATCCAAGTTTTATAACGGAAAAAAATTTTTGACTTCAGAGTTTAAGTATTTATAGCAATGCTAGTACTTCAAATTAGTACAGAATTCATTGTAATTGCTATTTTCATTACAGTAATTAGATTTCACTGCATGATACAGCTCTCATTGCATGATTATGTTGTTCATGTTACAGTAGCCTGCTGAATGTACAAGTAGAAAATGAATAGCAAAAAGTGAATTCAAAAATGGTTTGTTAAATGTTCGAATATAATATTTTTTCCTAAGTTGATTAATGAGTATTACATTCATACTTAGCTATTTACATTTATACACACATATGTAGGTCTGATAAAATTCTCCTATATCATTAATGATTATATATAGGAAACTCCAGAAAATCCAAAATTATACTTGCCACTTAAAATATTTTTTCCTGTGTGTGTGTGTGTGTTTTTTTTTTATTTCAGCATATTATGGGGGTACAGATGTTTAGGTTACGTATGTTGCCCTTGCTCCCCCTCCCCCCTAAGTCCGAGTTTCAAATATGTCCATTCTTCGGGTGGTGCGCATTGCACTCTTTGTGTATGCATATACC